TATTCGAACATGATTTAAACGCCCCGGTAACCCCTGCACAGGCTGCCCTCTGAATTACATTTAATTTTTTGATGTTTTATTGTTTATTTGATGCTGGTTACCAGACCAGTGCTCCATATGTAAGGATAGGTCTAATGGCGACCGTATACATTCACATGTCTATATTTGGTTTTTGGCCCCAGGTTCTGCTTAGTATCTTCTTGCACGCATAATACGCCATAGAAGCTTTCCTAATACGTTTCTTTATATTCAATTTCCAGTTCATTTTGGTATCTAGACCTGATCTAGGGATCAGACGAGTTATTACGTTAACGAATTTAAATTCTTTTTAATGAATTTTAAAGTTAAAGGTATTTATTTTATGTTATAAAAAGAACAAAAACTAAGTTCTTTTATTTATTTTGCTTTAGTTTACCCTGTATTTTATGTTTACATAAAGTTTTAGTTCTGTGCTACCCCCCGATTCCCAAATTCATTTCTTTTTCAGTGTATACCTATGTTTATGTCTTAAGGTAATAAAAAAGTTAAGTGTAGCTGCCCAAATTTGCCTATATGTGTATAATCTGCAATATACTAACTTCATCTTTTTCATTCAAAGTCAAATTTGCCCTGTTGATGTATTGTACTTTTGTGTTTTTCAATAATCCTCAAATATCTGCCGATATTACGGGAATTGACATAGGTTTAAAACTTAGAACCTCAACGGTTTTGCAAGCCAAATCTTATTGCTTATTATTATCTCTCTATTATATATAAAAGTTTTCTGCTGCTGTCGAGAATCAACTAACATAAGAGCGAGCTAGCTCGCGCTCGGCGAGGGGCGGACGTAGGCGAGCGAGCGAAGCGAGCGTCCCGGAGCGCAGCGGACGGCGCCTAGTATATATATAGATTAATTTAACAAAATTTGGAGACTATGCTCCTGAAACGACAAAGCAGCTTCCTTGTTTCCGATTGGGCAGCTTTCTGAAGAAGCTGGCAGACAAGGATTAAAGATCTAAAAAGGTTCCGATTATAACATACACAGAAAATTTCACGCGTCACTTCAAATACAGACACAAATCAACGCTACTAAAGTCAACTATAGATTTACTTGATGAGGCATTATGAAAATCTTTATACAAGTATATATAAATCTTCTGTACGTGTGTACGATTCTAATTAAAGTTTTTGTGTGTATTCAAGGGGGTTTGAGAATGGTTTAGATTCACAATTCGATCAACTAGATAATGTTTTAACAATGAATTTATTTATTTATAAAAGTTTGTTGAGGTTAGAAAGTTTTGAATAAAATTCCGTCAGACTGCGCTGCAGTCGTGATAGATATTCAAAAGTATATTTGAGTTTCAGTTGCGCCTGGTAGATGACGCTGAGATTAGATTTTAAGATAGCATAAGTACAGTTTAAACTATGAAGACTATAGACATGTGTATGGTGTATAGTGTCTAAACATTCATACTGCTATGCTACTCTATACGATGATGATCCGAATGAAGATACATAAAGGATAGATCGTCTGAACACATTTGTTACTTTTTGGCACATCCATTACTCTTTCCCTACGGATATTACTTAAAACTATTTATTTTGAAATTTGTTACTGTTTCGTAGTACATATTTTACATAATTCTTCATAAAATTTTCCTAACCTACATAACTATCCTAACACGTCTGTCGGGTCCGGTAGGTTTTTATAAAATTGTTGTTCGTTTCCTAATTATAATATATAAATGTTTCTTTTGGTTTATTTTTCTGTTATCACAACATTTTCGAGAAATGTTGTCTCCGTTGATAGTGTGAGATATCCGAACTTGGAAATATAAATGTTGGCTTATCGCCTCTATTTTATATACTTAATTTGTTATTTAATATGTATTGTAAGAGTGACTCACCTCTGATATTCGTACTGGAGCTTCCCCACAGGGTGTGTCTTGCGTTTGCGTCACACCCTATTAGGATATCTTCCCCTTTGTTGTCATCTGTATGTTTCTTGACAGGTCAGATTGCACGTCCCTGTCGTGGGCCATGTAGGCTGAAAACAAAAAGAAACTACTTCTCTTTTGCTCCACCTTTACTACTGTTGTGTCTGCTGTGCTATAATTAGAACAAATAAATGGATTTATAACTTCACTGATGAGAATGCATGCCCTTGGCTTACCTTCGTTCCGTTTGTTATATAAGTATGTTATATTTGCTGCTAATAAGCTCTTTAACGGTGTCATCACAGACCCAGGGCTCCTGAATGATGCTGATGTCGATGCCACCCTAATTCATGAGAGTTATACTATTTGTAGCACTTTTTGAGTGCTGCAGATTTATCTGTACGCATCATATATAGTTGGTTATCGTCTATTCTTTAATGACGATATCTCTTAGTAACTGGCTGTTGTTGACGGCCTCTTCCGTGTCGTCTTCATCAACCGATTTGTCGCATTGAAATATCTTCATACTGGCCCTTCGTATACCGAAGCTGCTTTTATTGTCAGCTCTCGATAGAGACTGTTCGCAGATGGCCACTAAGATCGGTCTCCTTGTTTTGTTATGCTTCTCCTCCTTGATTAGCTGCCACTCGTCTATTCTTGGGATCGACTTGTTTTGCAGCTTTATACGGAGGAGTTTTTCGCCTGGCTCCTCTAGAGGGAGCAGCGAACTGCGAACACGTGGTCTCTTTGGAATGTTCTGTAGCCCTTAAGCGTAGCCGAGAAGTCAAAATCCGGTGGGGACCCGCCGGTTTATCGAGAATGTAGCTCAGAACTACACTCGATAATCTGACGTCGATCTCCACTTATCTCTCCTGAGTTGTGTTCGGCGAAGAGGAGGATTTGTCTATTATGGATGGATGTTTGGTCGCAAAAGTCAGCGGGAAAGGGTTGTTCACTCGTCTGCAGAGCTGGTATGAGTTGAGAAGGCGTTTATTACCTCCGACCTTTACCGAGAATCGGAGGGGACCGTTCGCGATCAGCTACTCAATTACCTCTCGGTGACCATTCAGCCATCGGCATGGGTACCTCGATACCTTGGCTTAGGTAGTATTGGCACGGGTATCCTCACACTTCCCACAGTAGGTGATAGGCGTAAAACCGAGGGTTAATTCAACTATATCCCCATATTGTGTGAATTATGAGGTATCCCTCTTAGCTCGTAATTAAAGAGCATACGCATTTGGGACGCGCCCTTAATATTACTTGAACCCCTTCGCTACGGCAAGGCGACCAACATTGAAGAGGGTTCCATAGGTATGTTAAACTATTATTGAGGTGTATGAGCATAAGTATCTCTTTTGTATTGGGACGCAGCTTAATTGGCTTTAGAGTTATGAAATCTACGCTACGATTACGTATTGTTCATTTACCGACTTACCATTTACGAAACAAACTTTTATAGTTTTATCGAAATTTTTAACTTGCCTAGACGGAGGAGCGAATAGACATTCGGATATAACTTCATCTCGCCTATTTGATAAGCTTCATGTATATAACGCAAAATATACCGCCATTTTTTAAGGTATTACAAACAACCGTTAGATGTTATTCATATTATATATACTCTTGTGCAAAAATGGTATATAAGGGGCGTACATTAATTACGTGAATCAAGAAAAAAAACGTTAATTGTACCAAACTTGATTTTGATCTTTCAGTTTGTATGGAAGCTATATGATATAGTGGTCCGATCTGAAAATATTCTTTAAATGTTGTGTCGCTGTGAAATAATCCATGCCAAATTTCTCGTAAAATAAAAATGTTTTCCATACAAGAGTTTCATTTTAATAATTTCGTTTGTATGCCAACTATTTGCTTTATTAATCCGAACTAAAAATTTTTTCGGATATTGCCGCGTTGCCTTAGACTTAAAATAAAAAAGTTTTCTATACAAGAACTTGATTATGATCGTGCAGTTTGTATGTTATGACATTTATATGCTATAGTGGTCCGATAAGAGCGGTCCTGACAAATGAGCGGCTTCTTGTCGAGAAAAGATTTATTTTATTTACGTATTTACATACGCACGGGCGGGCGGACATGAGTAAATAGACTCAGTTCACCATTCTGATTATTTATATATATATTTTATAGAATCTCCGACGCTTCCTTCTGCGTGTTACAAACATCGGGGCAAACTTAATATACCTTGTTCAGGCTGAAACTATGCAGAAATTTCACACGATAGCGTATGTCGAATTCGTGATTAGTTTTAAGAATTTTATAATGCTTAAAATACATCCATATGTATGTATGTACACATCTACAAGGTGACAAAGTGGAGAAGTGGTAAAGTTAGGGAACAGAGCAATGTTTAACATAAGATTGATCAGCTTCCAAGAGAAGCAGCGAAAAGACATAAGTACATATATATGTGCACCTAAATGACGATGCATTTATATCAAACAGTGTAGCTCTGTTCAACAATTCATTTGTCTCATTATTGTTGTCGTCATTGTAATATTTGTTGTAGCCCTGAAAACATTGTTTTGATCTAGAGTTACAAATTTGCTGTTTGTACCAGCTATGGTGCTTAGTGAATTGTGAATTCATTTCATTGCCGCAGTGGTTTGCCAATTCGTCCACCAATAAATGTGACCAAATGCTAGTCAGCAGAGAAACCCCGTAAACCAAAAGATGATTAAATATTGTTATATGGAACTCTTGACATTTGTACTAACGGAAAAAAGAGATATGTTTTTATTGATTTTCAAAACTTAAGGCTTGAAATAAATTATAGTTATTTATAGAAATCTGAAGGCTCGGAACTAAGGGGTAATCAAAATGTTTTTCGTAAGTGCTGCTAATTTTTTTGACCAACCGGTATAGTTTGTTCCATTCCCTACTCTCCAACACTTATCGAAGTGAAGATAGCTTTTATAGATATTATATTTGTTCTCGGCCGGTGCTTGGTCACGTAAATTTGGTGCGCTTGGCACAATGTACCATACACAGTATTTATCTGAATATGTACCGTTATATCTATGTATAAGTACATATGTATATGAATACAGTAATTCATAACAGTGCATATGTAGGTATATTTGTTTCTACCTACTTTCTCAAATTACAAACATTGAAAATTCTATTCAGCATTCAATTGTCCGCTCAACTTAATAAATGTGCGCCCATCACAACTTGCCTACTTGTCAGCAATTCGTCCTTGTGGTGATGCCTACCGAACAACTGTGCATTTTAGTGCGACACCCCGAGGTGTTGGCAGTCACTTGGAATGACTGCGTTGAGGGGGGATGAAAGTGTAAGCTGAAGAGCCGGCTGATTTTAGTTGCTTTCCTCCGTCATTGCTTCTGCGTTGCACCTTCGACATTGAACGTTGACACGCATAAGCATATTTACATACATACAAATATACACATTTATTCGATCACATATGGCTCGCTGATGGAGGTTACAACTGAAGTGCACACTTGTCGCACCGTCAGTCAATATCCCACCCACTGTGGGCCGACGCAAGGATTCAACTGGAAATAGAAATGGAAATGGGCTAGCAATCATTTGCAATTATTTAGGCAATAATTACTATTGTGTCGTATGCTTACATTTTGTCGAAAACTCTCCAGTGTAACAAGCAAAATTTTACTGAATATTTTGCTTTCGATGCAAACATCCCTGATTAAGTCAATGGGAATGTATGTTGATTTCGGGTACTAATTTGAATAGTTTCAACCCCGCTTTGGGCCTATATTTCACTTCACTTTCAAAAGTGTGACAAATTTCGAACCGATCATGTCTAGTATACGTACAAGTTTACATTATTACATTTAGCTAATACGATCGAAGAACTGGGACTGACGATTGAATTCAGGTGTTCAGTGATGTAGACCTGTTTCAGCCATTATCACAAATCGGCTCTTATTGTGTTGGATCGGAGCGACATTGTCGTTTAAATGTGTGTCTATGTGTGTGTTTATCCAAGCATTTTCATTTGTAAAAACACGGAAATGATAAACCTACGCATTCCTTTGAATAGCAATGCTGCTAACAAACTCACACATGAATGAATTACGCACATCAGTACGGTACTTGATCGTTGAATATGCTGTGGCACTTATCAAGCCATAGCTTTGCTTCAATGATTTTTTTTTTACAACGGTCAAAGAGGGGACGTCGGTTTGAGACCAATAACTTGAGAATTCTTAGATGAAATGTTATGAAACTTTGACAGTTTTCTAGCTAACGTTACTCTAAAACAGGCTTAGGTAGGTATGGGTATGCACGATCTATCTATCAGGGAAAATCCTTTTTAGCTGATGTAATAATTAACCGAAAGTCATTAACTGCTTGAATAATTTATAAATAAATACCTGTATATGTATTTCCTTAGAAAAATTTTCCGGGTAGTCTCACATGTTGCAGATATATTCAATGTTTTTATACTTTTCAATATTCAACAGTCGAAAGCTGGTATGCATCAGAAAACAGTCAAGGTTGAAAATTTTACTTCAATGACTTATTAAGCCCGCAGGCTCAAAGCCCAAAGAATTTAGTTTCGGGAGGGGTCCGCAAATTTGAAAATGATATCGGTTATTCTATGTATTAGGTGAACGTTCTAATTATTGATCAGTCGAGGAAAAATTAAATGTCGATATGTGACGTCATTTTTTCTTCTAATGGAATCATATCTCATTTGAAAATGAGAATCATATCTAAATTGAAAACAAGAACTGAGAATCGAAGAAATATTTATTAATGTGCTGTTTGCTGTTCAGGGCTGTTACCAGTAATTGATATACATATTTGTGTTTATACAAATGGGCGAATCAATCGGAATAGCTTTCATTCTTAGATGCTTTGATTTTTATAAAACTATTTCAATATATAATATAGCTCGTGTTTTTGAATTTTTATATTTTTAAACCTTTATTAGTCAGGGAGCCTTCACCTATCATTAAATCATCCACGCAAATATAAAACCAAAATAAAACAAGTAAGGAAGGGCTAAGTTCGGATGTAACCGAACATTTTATAGTCTCGCAAAGTCAAATGGTATACTCGTTTGAGATTTCTTTGTGGATTGACTGATATTTTCGGTAGAAGGTCAACTATTGGCACTGGGGTCCACATATTTAGTACTTAGGGGTTTGAACAGTTTTGGTTCGATTTAGACAATTTTTGGCCGCAAAGTTGGCATACTTTAATTGCATTATTCACGCAAAGTTTTACCCCGATATAATCATTGTTACCTGATTTGCATAGTGGAAAGTGAAAGAATCAGATGGAATTGAAAATGGTGTTACATGGGAAGTAAGCGTGGTTGTAGTCCGATTTCGCACTATGACATAGAAACATGAAAAGAACGTTACGCACCGAATTTGGTTGAAATCGGTTAAGCAGATCTCAAGATATGGGTTTTCACCTAAAAGTGGGCTGTGCCACGCCCACTGACTAATTTTGAACGCGGTTCCTATAAAGCCAATTTATACCATCTTAGAGATAAAATTTAATGTCTCTGGCGTGTTTAGTGCTTGATTTATCGCGCTTTTAGTAGTTTTTAACAGTACCGTTATATGGGGAGTGGGTGGAGTTGCCACCCGATTTCAACTATTTTCACACCGTCAATAGAAGTGCTAAAACATTTGCTTCTAGTGAATTTTGTTATTATAGCATTAGCGGTTTAGGAGATATGCACATTAAACCTATTAGAGGCGGGACCACGCCCACTTTTTAAAAAACAGTTTTAACTGCAGATGCCCTTCCCTAATGTGATCCTGTGTACCAAATAAGAGTCTTGTATCTTATTGCGGAGCTTAGTTATGGCAAGTTATTTGTTTTTGATTAATGGCGTTTTGTGGACGTGGCAGTGGTCCGATTACGCCCATCTGCAATACCAACCGTCTCACGGTACCAAGAAACACGTCTACTAAGTTTCATAAAGATATCTCAATTTTTACTCAAGTTAGAGCTTGCACGGACGGACGGACGGACGGACGGACGGACAGACAGTCACCCGGATTTCAACTCGTCTCTTCATCCTGATCATTTATATATATATAACCCTATATCTAACTCGATTAGTTTTAGGTGATACAAACAACCGTTAGGTGAACAAAACTATTATACTTTGTAGCAACAGGTTGCGAGAGTATAACAAAAAATAATACAGCTGTAGTTATATCACATAATACTGTTTCATAGAAAATCGTTCCAATTAATAATTCTTGTTGATAACTCATAATTGCGCAAAACTTATGTTTACGTATGGAGAGCAACCAATAAAGACATAAATTCTATGAATTATACTGTACATACGCCATTTTGAGGTAAATTAAAAAAAATTAATACATATAATACAAGACAAAGATCAATAAAGAATAATTTGCTTCTTGGTGCATTTTATTAAAGAAGCAATCTTCTCATTTTTTTCTCGATAAAATTTTGTTAGGGCCCTTGGACCGCCCCCTTAATACGTGCCAGCTTGACCCATAGGTGCACTTCTTCATAAGAATAATTCAATGGTGAAATTGCCTTGGCCTCAATGTAAGTAAGAGAACAGACAGGCTGAAGAGTGCAAATCTCTTTAGTAATAAATCAAAAGTGTTTGCTAAAAACGATTCTACTGTAGATATGCATGTATTTATGTTGAAAGCTGCCCAAACGATTATCTTTTTATGGTCGCTAAATTGCTTACTAAAGAGTATTTTCTTGAGGTCTGAGAACGGGAAGTTCCCTTCCCGGGGGAAGTTACTGGACGATAGATCCGGAGAATATGGTGGTATGGATGTGAAGGTAAATGAAAGGAGCCAATTTATGCACTTTTGTTACTGTTTTTATTGATTTCAGCGTCGATGGTGCGCTCATGCGGCACCCACTTTGCGTAAAGTTCTAAGTATCTATCAAGAATCATATATCTCGAACAATTAAAATTTGCGGCAATCCTAAAAAATTTGTGGATTTTTTGATGATTTCGTCCGTAACTGTTTCTCTTGAACTGGATCCTTTGTATTCCGTACTGGTATGACCTGTTCGGAATTTAACAAAACACTTACAATGGTTGTATCAACTAGCGAAGAGTGAGAGAATCAATATTACTTCTTTCTTAAAATATCGAAATTCCTATTTCATATATTTCAAAACTCAAATTCTGTATGTCACAACCGAATTGTTGGATCGCTGTGAAATTAATACATGTGCCTTTTGAAGGTTAGATCTGACTATAAAATATGTACATAAGTATGAGTATATTTAATTCTAGTGCTTCCCTCTCATGGTACAAACGGCCTTTCCAAATTTTTACCATATTTTAGGGCAATACGAAGTATTTTTATTAAAAGTCGTATATAGATTTACTGTAGAATCTCAATAATTTGTGCATATACATACATATGTATATATCCATACTCATATACTCGTATATACTTACATATGTATCAATATAATATCTTGTATACGCTTGCTTCCATAATGTTTATTATGAATGTATGAAGGTTTGTATGGACGCATGGTCACACCCCTTGCAGTTGTATATTACATTCAAATTATATGATTTACGAGGATAAGAGGACATTTCAAAAGTTTCCAATTTCAACTTTTTCTCTCTTGAAGTTGTCAAAGCACTTCGTTCTCGTTCTCGTCCTCGTTCTCGTTTTTCAATTCAAGCGGGGCAATGTGACATCTTTATGCAAACGCAGGGAAAAAGTGGAAAAGTTGACATATGTGCGCCTGCAGCAGTTTTTAAGCAGCACTACAGCAATATCAACAACAACCATGGTAAAATAGCAGCAGCTTAAGGAATATGGCCTTAGCGGGGTGGCCATTGAGTGATACTAAAGCTGCAGCAGGAAACACTTGATTTTTTGATGCAAAGTGTTTCGTCGACGATGCTTCAGCGGATTGCTGTGGAAATTGTTTGATTGAAAAATTAATAGGCAAAGATTGCAGAGGAAGACAGCAAGTAATGTATGGGTTCAAGCTGAGATGTTTCACATAAACATAAGTATAATAATTATAACGGTAATATGTTTCTCGAAGTTATTGTACGATTGGAATGGTCTGCAAACTGTCGTTTGTCTCCCAATTTCTACGATTCTTTTGATGTCAAATGTACAACCATTTAATTTGAAGTTATATGGTGGGGACGAATCTCCTTAGGACCTTTACGAACTAATAGCATACATATTCGCATATATAATAATGCATTCATATGTATGTACGTATATTAGGGTGGGTCGAAAAAAAATTGGTTGATAAAAACCTCTAAGAAAGGCTCTCCAAGTATGAGGTCGTAATTATAACGGGAAGGTCTTCCGCTTTCCAGTTTTTTATTTCTACTTATTATCAGTTAGAAAAATTCTATCAACTATTCTATTCAACTATTTAGTATTTAGGGGCTTGAACAGTTCAGTTATTCACGCAAAGTTTTACCCCGATATAATCATTGTTGCTTGATATGCATAGTGGAAAGTGAAAGAATCAGATGGAATTTAAAATGGTGTTATATGGGAAATAACATTTCCGATTTCGC